GATGAGGGAAAAAAGAAAAGAAAGGAGAGGAAATTGTGTGTATGTATATACAGGATAGCTAACATAGTTGTACTACTGACTTCTGTTGCTTTACTGAAAGGAACAGTAAATGATTACTTATTTGATCGATCTTGCATGTCTCTATTTGTTTTCCTGAGAAACCACTTTGAAGATATCAATAGGTAATACAACAATCGTTGTTAATTTCCTACCACTTAGTCTGTAACTCTGTATTGCATGTATTGTTCTTACGCTGTTTCGTAAATGGATGTCTGTTTGTTAATATGTTTTCCTTCTTTAATTTTTAAAATAACTTTTAAAAAATTAAAAGAAAAAGTAACTGGAACAAAAATCTTAGCAAATTAGGGGATGGCTCATTAATTCACCAAGGATAGAGATTACTTCTTTTGCTAGAAGAGAACAGTACTTCTGAGAGAAGACTTTTATTTTCCTTCCATGAAGCACTGTTGAGCCAATCCATACCATTCTGTGGAGCTTCTAGATTTTTTTTTTTTTTTTTTGGTACTGGGAATCAAACTCAGCACTTGCCAGGCAGGTGCTTGTGCCGCTGAGCTAGATCCTTGGTCCTCTGTGGAGCTTTAATTATATATTTCACTTCACTGACTGCCACCAACCTATACCCAAAGTTTATGTAAGCCATGTTGTAATCAAGGAAAACTCAAGAGATCTGGTCGAGATAATGCCTCCCATTCTAATAGGGAATGCATTATGATGGCTGTCTCAAAGGGGTGTTATTTGTAAAACAGATTACCTATGATTCAGTAATAAAATGATAAAAACATGTCTCTTGAAAACTATTAACCATTCAGAATAAGGGTGTCTAAAAGGAAGATAGTTCATCAGTGTTTGCCTTCAGAGGTACATTTTATTTGGAGAAAAAAAATGGGCTAACCAAGTTGTATGCAGTGTTTTGACTACTGTAGTATAGTTTTGGTTTTGTTAAAAATAAAAATATTAGTAGCTAACATTTATTGAATACTTAATATCTGCTAGATATGTTACATATTTTTCTCCAGTTCTCATAGTAACCCAGCTAAGGAATATGGTAATATTTCAGTTTTACAAATGAGGAAACTGAATCAAAGATTAAGTAATCTATCCCAAAGAAAGTTATGTGGCTACTGTGAGTGACAGAGTTAATGTTTGAACTCAGATGGGTCTTTAGGACCCCTCTAAGTTATTTCTTGTTTTGCTCTGGACTTCACAACTCTGCTTGCTTGCTTATCTTACCCCTTCTGTTTGGAGTGGCATCTCCTCAGCAGGTTCTAGACTGTACTAATGGCAGATGTAGCCATCAGTTAAGCCTCAGATCAGATGCCACCTTTTTCTAAAATTTCCCTCATAGCCCCATTTGGAGTTAAACTGCCTTCTTTGAACTTCCACAACACTTTGTACATTTCCTCATATATTTATTTTTCCTTTGTTGAAATTATTCCTGTATATTTTTTAAATTACCAACTGGTAATTGTCTTTGATTCCCCTGGAGCCCAAGACAGCTTTGAACATTGAAGGCATTCAATATTTGTTGACTTGCTATTTCGGGCAAAAAACTCAAAATGGGAGTTAAAACTACTGATACATTTGGCAATATTGTAATACTATATTTTGATTTTTTTTTCTTGTTAAATCTTGTTAAATTTGCTGGTGGTATAACTAAATGTGGCATGCATTTCCTGGTTTTGTTAAAAGACTTATATTCTTAGGTATCACAAATAGTAAAGAAAAGTCTGTTTGAGAGAGGTAGAAAGAACCTGCTGTTTTAATTTTGTTCACAGCAGTAGGTCAGATTATGTTTTACTGGTGCTGGTTTTTATAATAGGATCGATAGAATATTGGCACTCAGCAATTGGTCATCATTGATTATATTATCTTGCACATATGGTTCCAGTAGCATTGTCAGATTGTTTAGAATAATTTTATGGTAAGCTGGAATCTACTCTTCAATATAATGTTTCCACTTATTACTTAATATTTTAGTGTGGATTGGCTCTTGTTTTTGTTTTACTTGTGCTTAGTTTTCTTCTCAAAGCCAGACCAAATCTTGCTTGCCAAGAGGGTGCAAGGAGTCTCATCATTGATTCGCCATTCATAGTTTGAAGATTTTTTTTTTTTTTTTAAATCTTTTTCTTTTTTAGCAGTGCTGGTGATTGAGCACCTTATGTATGCTAGACAGGTGTTCTACCATTGAGCTACAGTCTCAGTCCTTGTTCTTTTTTCTTTTCATGATTTGCTTTTTTTTTTTTTTTGAGGCAGGATTTTGCTATGTAGTTTGGGCTGGCCTTGAACTAACTATGTACCTCAGGCTAGCCTCGAACTCCTGGCAATCCTCCTGTGTCAGGCACCTGAGTGCTGGGATCACATGTGTGCACCATCTTGCTCAGCTCCCAGTCCTTGTTTTAAATGCTTTAAAATATGCCATTTCCTTATTCTAATTTACTACTTTAACATTTCATTCAAACAAACAGCAAAACAAGCCAAATTAATAAAGCTTTTAATAAACATTTATATGGTACTTGAGGTGTCAAATATTTATATGGTTATTGAGTTCTGAGTCTGTTAAATTAGAACTTTTGGTTGAAGGGAGGGGAGGGGAATGGGGAAAAAAGGCAAGCTATATCATGTACAGGTACAAATTCTGTATGATGAATGTTACCATTATATCTAAAATAACCCAGTAAAAAAAGAAAAAATAAACTAGAACTTCTGACTATATTTTTAGTTACTTCAGTCTAAATTATGCATATATTTGGTATTAATTTTGATGAACTCTTGAACATCCTGTCTTAGTCATTTTTCTTGTTGCTGAGACAAAATACCTGACAGTTACACATTAAAGGAGGAAAGGTTTCTTTCAGCTCACAATTGGTAGAGGTTTCATTCCATAGTTGGCTGGCTCCAAGGCAGGGTGGCATGGCAGAGGGGCATTGCAGAGGAGAAACAGTTCATGGTTTGGCAGGCAGAACAGCAAGGCAAGCAAGCCTCCCTTTCCCTTTTATTCTGTCTAGGCTACAGACCTTTTGGATGGTGTCATCCGCACCTAGGGTGGGCCTTCCCATTATCCACACCTAGATCTATGGTCACCCTAGATCCAGCCAGCCCAGAAAAACTCCACCTATGAGCACATGAAGAAGGGGGCAGCTAGGTAGAAGCCATAGCACATCCTGAGATTCTTTCTACATTTTTTGAGGGAGAAGTCCTTTTATTAAGATAATCTCTGTAGAAAAGTGAATATCAGTCTTTTTCGTCCATGTCACTTGGAATTTATGAAACTGCTAAAAAAGCAAAAGATAAGAGATAGTAATTCAAAAAAATCTGTTGGCTTTTAGTGTCTAAAATTTCCAAAAATTACAAGGCTTACAAAACATTTATCATTTAGGTTTGGGAATCTGATTATTAAATTCCACTGGAAAAATAAATCATTATAAAGCAACCAGTAGTATAATATTGTGAAGGGATTTGACATTAGCTAGAATATATAAAATGATTAGTTTTAGTTCTAGTGATGGAAGCTTAAATTCTCCTTCATAAAATTCTTGTTGCTAAAGCTAAATTATTATAAAAATAACACATTTAAGGGAACTAGAATATAAGTATAATTTTATACTTTATATAGAGTTTATTATATTCTGTTGTTCAGTATAAACTTGTTAGTCTTTATAACAGTTGTATGGGACAAGTACAGCCATCCCTTAGTATCTGTATGAGATGGTTCCAGGAATCTTCCCCAGTTAAACAAAGTCTGCCGATATTCACAAGTCCCTTATATAACTTGCTGTAGTATTTGTATATAACCTAGGCACACCTTCTGTGTTCTTTAAAAGTAATCTCTAGATTACTTACACCTAATGTAATATCAATGCTACATAGTTGTTACAGTGTATTGTCTACTGAATAATGACAAGAGAAAGGTTTGTACACATGTAGTACATATGCATTGTTTTCCCTGAGTATTTGCGGTTGGTTGAGTCTGTATTTGTGGAACTCACAGACGTGGGGGCCTAATTATACTGGTACTGTTTTCTATTTCATAGATAAAGAACTAAGCACAGAGAAAAGACAGGACTTTACCAAAGCCTTGAGTGTTTCATCTCAGACGGTCTGGCCTTAGACCCTGTGCCCTTAACTCTTACTCAGTATTGGTTCTCACTGGGTGGTTGAGAACTTGGGGTTTGGAGTGAGAGAGACCTGAGTTTAAATCATCGCTGCCATATACTTTGGGATGCAAATGTGTCTCTTGACCTCTCTGAGCCTCAGTCTTCTTGTTTATCAAGCAGAAGTTGTTTTAGGGGCAAAATGAAATAGAATGTGTTTGCTGCTTAGCACACTGTTGAGCAGACTCTATGGTTGTCCAATAGATGGTATCATTATAACAAACACAGAAGCAAAAGTCACTGAAAATAACCACTGCTAGCATTTTGAGTTATATTTTTCTAGTTTTAAAAAATGTTCCTTGATTTATTAATGTATATCTTTATATTAACATATTTTTCTTCCTTGTATAACTTCTCCTTTTATGTTTTACACAAAAGGCAGAAAAAGGCTTGAATGTGCCTGCTTAGCAGGAAGGCAGGCCTGTTTTAGTTTGTGTGCTAACTAAATATTTTTTATTTCCTGTGGAGATAGAGGAGGACTTAGTACATACATTTTTTTCTTTTTAAATAAAAATAGAATTGTGTTTCAATTAAAATTTCTGATATGAATGTCTACAAATCAACAAAATACAGGATACTCTAAGTATAAGCAGGAGAGCATGTAGTAGAATAGCAATGAAATGCCAATTTCAGAATACTTAGAATTAACTGAAAAACTACAATTGAATGAAATCTTAACATGGACTGTTTCCTTTGATGAGTAAGATTGTAGAACTTTCACTGTACATTGCTTTGTTAAATTTAGTTGTGGTATATCAGTAACTAAACTAAATCCTCCTCTCTTTAGCCTTATTAACAAGTTGGCTAATGCTCTTTTTTTTTTTTTAGATCTACACACAATGAGCTGGAAAAGAATCGGTGAGTCAGCGATGAGGTGCAGCTTTTTTTTTTACATATGTTCAAAAAGCAAACTCACCATTTGACCTGTAATGTTACAGTACATAGATAGTTGTAATTTTATTTTTAAAATGTGTAGCCTGTCATGATTCTGATATTTATGTATTTTCTGCAATAAAGTAAGCTTATATGATCCAAATTAGAAGTAGTAAACATTTTTAAGCTCATTAGAATTTTGATTTTCATGGAGTAGCTATCTTTATTTGTGTATTTCAAAACAGGTTAATCATGATAGGCTTGTGGCTTAAATGTGGTCTTGCTGAAAGATTAAGTTTCTGGAGTAGGTCATAAACATAACAAATTGGAGCACATTAAATCTTCCTTGCAGTTTGTTCGTTCATTCATTTATTCATGCATTCAACAGATATTTATCACCTGTGAACTAGCGTTATTGCCTGACAAGCAGAATGCTTTCCTGGAAAATACTAGAATGTTTAAGATAGTTCCTGTCTTTAAGGAACTCAAGGCTTCATGGGGAAGAGAGAGGTAATTAGAATGCTGTTTAATCTGATCAGCTTGGTAATGGAGAAACAGTGGGTACTGCAGGGTGCCGAAGGATCATTTTGGAAGGTCATTTGATTCATCTTTGCGGAGTCTTGGAAGGCTGTGCAGAGCAGGCTGAATGAGAAAACCGCGAGGGGTTCCATATGGGATAAAAGATTATAGCAGAAGGTAAGCCAGGTCAGAGGTGGAAGAGTCTTGTCAGTTATGCTGAAGAGCTGACTTTTCCTCAGAGCAGGTACAACCTGCATGGTTTGTGTTGTTCACTTTTTGGCCCTGGGGTTTGAACCCAGGTACTTGGCATGCCAGGTAAGTGCTCTACCAATTAGCTACTTCCCTGGCTCTTTTTATTTATTTCTTTTTCTGAGATAGGGTCTTGGTCAATTGCTGAGGCTGGCCTTGAACTTGCAGTCCCCTGCCTCAGGCTCCTGAGTATCTGGGATTACAATTGTGTACCACCATGCCTGGCTTAATGTGCTTAGTTTTTCTTACCTGGACTGCATGTCATCTCCAATGAAGGTTTTTTGTTCCTATTACTTAGGTCCAAGACTTTTTTCCCTGTGCTCCCTCACTATATGCATTGTTCTCTTATCCCCTTCTGATAACCCAAAAAGGGCTAATTGATAATCTTTTTTTAATTTACAAGTTCTAGTAGATGTTATGGATTTGTTTCTCAAGTTATTTCTTCCCTGTCTCCTTTTTTTTTTTCTCCCTCTCTTCCCTGAGGCTTGACTAAAAGGTGATATAGGATTAACCTTTCCGAGATATGTTTGTTTTTTAAAGGAGTTTTTGTTACTATAAATAAAACTCAATAATTTAGTAGTATGTGTTAAGAGTCAGTGTCAAATAGAAAATCAAATTAAATAATCCATACCCTACTTCTGAAAAAATACCAGCTGTGAACTAGGAAGACACAGGAAGATTTTAAAGTATTTAAAATACATATATATATATGTATGTATATATACATGGAGGTATTCAGCAGGAAGGCAGCACAGGAATATTTAAAAAATTTAATCCTATGTTATTACATTTTTTGGCCCCCACCCAGTTCTATTGAATAATTCCTTTTACCAAGGCGCTATTTTTATTTGATATGTTGAAGAAAACTGTTAACCAAGTTTTGGCGTCCTTTAAAACAAATAGAACTTTGGTTTTACCTGTCTTCTCCCTTTTAGCAGTACCTTGTAGAAAGAAGATAACGCATTTCAAAGTGTTATCTTTTCATTCTGAAATTTCAAAAATACGAATTACCTCAGGGATAGCTTTTCATTCATATTTTTGAAATCTTGCCAATTTGTGTATAATACATTCAATGTCAGAATTTTTTTTGTTGTTTTCTTTTTAGCTTGGTTCTAGTTTCTTTTTTTTTTTTTTCCCAGTACCGGGAATTGAACTCACAACCTCACACTTGCCAGGCAGGTACTGTGCTGCTGAGCTAAATCCCCAGCCCCTTTAGCTTGGTTCTAAATCTTCCACATACAGCACTCTGAGCCTGAATTTGTGTTTTTTACTGGGACAAATGCAGTGAGATTTGCAGTAGGTGATTTTAAATTGTTAGTGAACAGAATAATTTTAGGTGGTTCTCTTACATAAACTCCCAAGATTGTTGAAGGCCTGGGTTTCAGCCTACAGGAGATGATAGATAGCATTGTTGAAGTACATACTCCCAGATCTCAGAAGAAAATCTGATGATGAATATTTGGGGTCTGAGGTGCCCATAGTAATTTGTCCTAACCTACAGTTACCCCTGTAGTTCTTTAAGGAGCTTTAGGCATTTTCACAATTAATATAGAAATTCACATTTTCTTGGATAGGTCCTGGGGGCTGCTTTCTGCCTAAAACCATGTTGATTATGTTTAACCTAGTCTGCACAGTTCATTTGTCACCTGTGTACCGTGTTTCCCTAGGCCTGTAACAGGTCATAAAAGGGCCAAGACATGGAAGTGGAAAGCAAGCAGAATACTTTCAGAGACTGTGCATTCTTCTGGAACCTGTATGAAAGTTCTCAGGATAAATGTATTGAGTCTTTGAGAAGGAAGAATTAAAAAATTTACTTCGCCCATTGGCTTATCCTTGTGTTAAGTCCTTTGCCAGAAAAGAAACTATTCAGTACAGATTTTAGACTGCTTCATTGCTTTTCCATTATCTTAACTCAAATTGCTGATGATGTTTTGGACAGAGTCAACAACTTTTTTTTTTTTTTTTTTTTTTAATAATTCAGAGTCAACAACTTTAACAGGACTTTAATGGTCAAGAACCTTAGTGCTGAGTGCAGGAGAGGCTGTTCAACCTCAATAGCTGTCATTCCATTGAAATACAAGGCTTACCCTTATTACAACTTTGGCAAAGCTGGAAGGGCCAAATGAGGACACTGGACAAATAATGCTTTCCTAGGCAGAGCAGAACCGACTGTGATAAAAGAGAAATTATTTTAATGAATGTGCAACGGATGGTATTAGGTGTCCTCCATATATAGGGACTTTCGTGTACCTCTGAAGGAACGATGAGAATCAGCATTTATGGAATTCTTCCGTGTTTCCCCATTACACAGTGCTGTTATGTAATTCCATAGGGAAAAGGGTCAGTGTGAGTAGTTATGGAGGCAGGAAGCTTGGCATCGTAAGTTGGGCTCGAGAAAGAGCGAGTAGACTGTTGTAAATGGGATAGATCAATTGTTGTCAGAGGTGAGCATGCAAAAGTGGTTCGGGGTTAGACTGTAGAATGTTACAGCCTGTCAGGGAATTTGGGCTTTATTTTGTGGGCAGTATTTGGGCTTTTGTTCAAAGAGCTAGGCATAATCAAAGCATTAAGGAAAACGCTGTCAACCTGTAGGAGCAAGGAGACCAATTTGGATGCTGTTGAAGCAAGTAGTCCGTGAAGTAGAAAGATACGAGTCAGCACTCAGCGAGAGGGCTGGGGACAGGAGGGGAGGGGGGGGACTAGGAAGCACTGTAAAGGAAGAATGCTGTGTTGTTTCCTGTTCATTGCAGTGAACCATTCCCCCTCACCATTTCATTCTTCACCTGGCAGCAAGTGTGATTTTCTGAAAGAATGGATCAGAAGATAAAAATCTGTGCACTACATAGTCTGCTGCTTTACCCTGTTCTCTCTCTCTCTCTCTTTTTTTTTTTTTTTCTTTTTGTCTTTTTGAGACAGGATCTCGCTATGCAGTTCAGGCTGACCTTGAGCTCACTTTGTAACCCAGGCTGGCCTCAAACTTGCACCGATCCTCCTGCCTCAGCCTCCTGAGTGCTGGGATTACAGGCGTGCGTCACCACACCCAGCTCTTACCCTGTTCTCTTGAGGTCCAGTTGGCTCTGCTTGCTTTCTTAGATCCTTTTTTTTGAGACAGGGCCTTGCTATGTAGTTTAGGGTGGCCTTGAGCTCACCAGGCCTGCGCCACCACGCCCAGAGACACTGCTCGCTGTCTTTTTACCTCAAACACAAAATGGTCATTTACATTTTAGGGTTTTACTCATGCTGTTTCTTCTGCTTGAAAAACCCTGCTCTAGTTCTTTATCATTATTTAATTCTCAGTTCTCAGGCCCCGAATCATTCTTCACTCCTTTGCCCTTTCTGTCACTTTAGTATGTTTATCTGCTAGAATTACTTATTCATATTGACTTCTTCCAGTAAAATATAACTTTCAGAAAGGCAGAAACTTTATTTACCTTTAGCACATAGTAGTCACTCAGTAAATGGTCAGTGAAAGAAAGAATGCTAGGTGATATTGAGTAGAAGGAAAACCAGCAAGGGCTGGGCTCTGGTTCAGTGGTAGAGCACTTGTCCAGCATATGCAAGGCCCTGGATTTTCTCTGCAGCACTACACAGATTGAACAGTCAACAAAATGTATTAATTAACTATAAGTGAAAAGTGACAAATATATAGAAACTCTTGAGAGTTTAGCAGGGAAAATAATTTCATAGGTGGGAAATAGGAAGTTTAATGAATTCTTAAATTGTAAATTAATGAGAAAACTTGAGTGGAAACATCTTTTGAAGAATTTTTGTCTTGAGAGACTTTATTCTGATGAGAAGAGATTCATACACTTACTGTTTAGAGGCTTGCTGACTCTTAGTTCATTAGGGTATCATGCAGTGCACTAAGACAAAGACAGGTGATTTTATAAAGGGTAACAGTTAACTTAGTGCAGTTTACATTCCTGTAAAGTTGCTATTTTTCATTCCATGATTTTAAAGTGGTATTTTTACAAGGAAAACTTATATATATATATATTTGGAGACTAATAAATAATTTCATTTTTGTGTTAGAAGTTTTGATGTTTTGTTTATCCTAATGGTTTAGACATGAAGAGGAATATAATTTTTTTCCCCTAGACTTTTGAAAATGTCCCCATTTGAGGTGGGTATTTTGACAGAGTGATTGTTTTGGTCTGCTGTGAGATTCTTTGGCAGGAGGAGCATATCTTAATTGACTTTAGTTGTATATTTTGTAT